AATTAGAATACTGCGCAGGTTGGAATCTTTGATAAAGATTCTGCATATTTCGGTCAGATGGACTTTTCCTTCTTCGTGGATAATCATTCGCTTTGTGATTAGGTGATGAGCAAATGGTACAAAGTTTGGCCTTTGCTTCGGTTCAAGTCACGTGTTTGCCATCTATAGTAAGATTATTGTTTGAAATTGCAGCCTCAAAATCATCTGCAGTGGCAAAGTAGAAAAATGCGTGTTGTAAATTTTGGTAGTTGGACCGGGCCTTGGGGATAACCCGGGCAGTTATGTCAACCATCTTTCCAATTTCCTTGAGTTGTCTACCTGTCGTGAACCTAGGAAGGCTGGTAAGTTTTGCTGAAAATTTTGAACGTGCTAGAATTTCTGCACGAAATTGGTCACACATGTGGATTCTGACCATGTCATTAAGTATGAAAAGGCCGTAACAATTCTTTAGTTCCATGAAATTAGCATCTTCAGCGAAGGTAATGGTAGCCTGTTGCTACATATTCTTTATTTCCATTATGAAATGGACGATCGTTCTGAATCTGGTGAATTTCGTTCTAATTCTGTGTTCCGTAGAATTCAGAGGAATTTCAGTCACCTTGATCGACCTTGCAGGAACATACGGTTGTACTCGTACAACATCGAGGGGTAAGAACGTGCAGTTTTCTAAATTGGGTAACAGAACTGAACACGCATGATCTCGTTCTTCTTGGTTACGAAAGGAAATTTTTAGGATGCGTTGTGATTGGTTCTTCAGATGTTTGGCTAATGTCGCACCTGAGAACGAATCATATTTGTCGAATAGCATATCGACAACAGAAGAGACTTTTTGCTGCAGCGACATTCTTGGAAATTCTTCAAGGGAAAAATATCTATGGAAAGAAGGTTTTGGCGCTCAAAAGCTTGTACTGAGGACGTATTTTTGTCCAAGAAGTTCTCTGACGCGTCTAAACTAGCGTTTACGTCGATAGTGATAGTAGTTTTTTCTGGAGTCTCATCCAAAGTTTCTTTCTCCTTGCCTTTTTTCGAAGGCGAAAGGTCGACATCCATGGATACTACCGGTTCTAGAGTTTCGGTAGTCTGTTGGGTTGGTGGAACTTCCACAATTTGCATTGTATTTTGTTTTTTTACTTTTTGCGTAATTAACGGTAAAGACGAATGTTCTCATTGTTTTTGTTTTTGCTTGCTGTTTTTTTTGGGCATTTTAGGATCAAAGTATAACCTTATTAATTGATTAGACTCAATATTATTTTTAGTGCAATTTTTTATTGGCTAAGTATGTTTATTGTGGTATAACTATACATGAAGTCAAAATAGATCATTTCAGATATCCAAAATGATCGAAATAGTCGAAATCATTTCAACTATTGGTGGTAAAAGTTGAAATAGTCGAAATGACGTCATATCACATGATTTTTTATATATAGAAAAACAAAAAAACAAAGTTATACGATCTCAGTTAATATCGCTTTGATTCGAATGAAACAACTACCATTCGATTCCCCACACTCTTCCTCATTGGATTTTTCCAAGAATTTTTACTTAAAAAAATGCCTATTCAATGGTAGCCACGGCTTAGCCTGCGAACAAACAAAAAAACCTTACCTTTCAAAAATATTTCTCTCTTTGTTTCTCACACCCCTATTCACATAAAAATTTTCAAAATAATCTAAACAGTGTTGTTTTTTGTTAAAATATTTTTTTCTTTACCTTTTTTCGAACAAATTTTTTACATTTTTCTCTTTTTCTTTTTTGCCTAATAAAAAGTGGGCATCAAGGAGTATCACAACTGACAATCATAATCTACATACTTTGGATAAACAAATCTCATGTGATGACACCTTTTCTCTTTCTAAACAATATACTCTCTTTTGATTGGCCTCTGCCTTTCTGCAGATCCTCTGTCGTCAAAGATCACGTGCAAATTTAGCGTGAATTATTACTTTGTTTCTTTATGAGATCTTTTATATGGTATAATGGTAGCTACCACTTGCTTTGTATTTTATCAGCCTACTGTGATTTTAAATGGAACTCCAGGTGGTTATTGCTATTTGCTTACTTGGTGTAAGTCTGCTTCGTCTAGATCTGTTCCTTTCTGGTAACCAGGTAGAGGGTATAGGTTACTATCTATTGATTCATCGTAGGGTTCTCGTAATGGATTTCATGTGATATCTTTTCTGTACTTATGAATCTATAAGTATGAAGAGCCTCTATTTGGACCTTTCATTAGACGCACCTTCTTTGGTCGGGTGGTCGTTATATCCAGAATTAACCGAACATTTAGGTTTTTATAGAATCATGTTAGTCTTTTTTAATAATTTCTATTTGTACTTATTTCCCTTCTTGGGAGGGTTGTTAGTTTTTAAAAATTTATTTAGAAGTTGGGATCGAAGAATATTTAGAAATTACGTTCCTGTATTGACAACCTCATTTGAATTTCTTGTTGACGGTTCGGTCATTAAATATGGATTTCTTAATCAGGTCAGAGGGGGATTCTAGTGATCAGTCAATCTAAACGAGTTTGAGCTTTTATTAGCAATAGAACCACGGGAGATAATCTTGTAATATTTTATTTAGTATACTTTAAAAAACTTTAATAAACTTATGGCAGTACTGCATTGTTAAAAGATAAAAAAAAACCATTTGATTCCTCGAAACTAGGCGGATCCAATGAGCTAATATTCATTGATTTCAGATCATCTAATCACGAGATACTCGCAATTGTATTAACGGCCGAAATTATAAATCAATAAATTCTACTTTAAATAAAGGAGTCCAGATTTCGAAATACAATCGCAAATGTCTTGAGATGGAATGATCTAAATTCAATGAATATTAGCTCATTGGATTCGTCTAGTCGCAAGGAATCAAATGCTAGTTGTTTCATATGAATCAGTACAATATTGACCGAGATCTTACATCTTTTGTTTTTTTCTATATATAAAAAATCATATGATATGATGTAATTTCGACCATTTTGACTTTTTATTTCGATTTTAACCTTCAAAGTCGAAACATTTTGACTTTTGGGTTTTCATTTTGACTTCATTTATAATCCTGATGATGTAGTTATCAAATTTTTTATATTATTATCAATGATTATTATTTCATAATCATTAAGTTTGCTTTTCTTATGTAATTATAAAAGTAGTAAAACATTTTGAATGTTATTATATTTTTTTTAGTTTTAAAAGATGTTAATAAATTAGGCTTACTTTATGAAAAATTATTTGAATGATATGCATATAATATTTTGTATAAAAGGAGAACAATTTATATTCATAAACTTAGTAAAAATCAAGAAAAGCTTTTTTAAGTTTAAAAATGAGCAATTATTTGTAAGGTTGGAAAATGTAGATGTGACTTTAGACTATTACTTTCAGTAAGTATTTAAAAATTTTTTTTTATCAATTCTTTGATTCTAGATGTTAGACTTTTTAAATAACAATTTTATGAAATATAACATTAAAGCAACTATATTAAAGAAATGATAGGATATAACTAATAAAAATAAGTATTTATTATATTTTGTTATTTCAGATTTAGATTTATTTCAAAGTTATTCTGTTTAATATTTTATTATAAATAAATACAAGTTCTTAATTTGTAGAACAATATGTATTTAAAATTCTAAAATCATAGATATTATTATTTTTTTTAAAATTACTGGATTTTTTATATCATACATATATTTGTTTTAGCTATAAAGACTAGTTTAATTTTTTATTATTTTCAATTTATGCTTTTGTTTTACCAATAGATCATAAATTTCTTTAATAATATTGATGCTAAAAATACTTTTAAACCTATATACAGTATATATATTATTTTATATTATCATAATATTGATAATAGGGATATAAAGATCACAATTTTTTATATTATATAATTTTACTACATGTAATTACATGTTGAAGAATGATGATTAATTTGATAATTGATTAATTGATTAACTAGATCATTAGATTTGAATGATCAAGGGCATATGTAGCGTTAAAAAGAGAATAATAATTAAGTAAGTATGTAGAAAAAAGAACTAAAGGAAAATGTGAGAAATCAAAAAGAGATGAGTATAGGAAATTAAGAGGAAAAGAAATATAAAAAAGAAGGAAGGGAAATAGAAAAGGGAAAGGTGAGCAGTTGTAAAGTAATAAAGAAAATCATTTTATAAAATTCACTTATTGATTATAATTGAGAAGTTCCCAAACTTCTTAATTAAGAAACTTGCTGTGTTTAAAGGACCTGTGAATATAAAAGTCACCAAAGAAATAAATAAGAAGGATTAATAAGATCTGATAAATAATAAACTAAGTATAAGTAAAGTAAGCTAAATCCACTTTTATAATAATATAAAAAAATAATTTTAAATTAAAAAAACTGCATCAAGTAGTAACAGTCAATCAGAAATATTTTGACTTTTAACACTAAGTTGGTCACTGATTTTATAATTACTATATGTTCGCTTCAAATCTATCATTTGAAGTTATTATAAGATGGAGTCCAGATAATGTGATTATTTTTTTAAAGTCTATTAAATAAAACTTTATCTTTTCAACGATGACATTAAGAAAATTGAGAATAATAGGGTCTCTGGTCATGCATTTCTTCGTTTGATTGAACAAAAGATTCTAAATTCTCCATATAATCTTCCTGGTGAGCCAGCCTCAATAATTGCAAAATTTGTTAAAAAGTTGAACAAGCTCTATCATAAAATAGTTTAACATTTGTATGTTATTCAATAAACGTCTTTTAAGGTATAGTATTTTGTTTACTCAATTGATTTCAAGGCTTCTAAGTCTCAAAGAATATTTATTGTATCCTCCATCAAATGTCTTATATTCTTCGTATGGTATTAGCTTGAAAAGTTTTACAAATGCAGTCAATAATCCTTCAAATGAAGTGACACTCTGGAAAGACTTCCTCAGAAATGTAAATGAATATACATTTGATCAAGAAAGAAAATACCAAAAACTGATATTTATTGAAGATTTTAAGGCAACCTTTGAAAAAATTGTTCACAATGCTTATAATGTTAATATTTGTATGATATTGAATGAGGTAATCACAGATTGTGAGTTTGCAATCAATATTACTTTCTTAAATTGTGTTCTTCCTTTATATTATCTTCAATAATTTCATCCAAATTTTCAA